GGAATTGTATTTGATTCATAGTGCAAAAAGTGTGATCCTGTTCGTTAGAAATAATCCACTGGCGACGTGGACGGTGCAGAGCGCCATGGTTGAATCCACTAGCCAGGTGAATGAAGTGTGAATGGTAGGTTAAAGCCAGATAATTCTTTTCGCTCACAGAGCAAATATATAGCACTGAATCCAGTTGTTCAGGCTCCATTGGTAAGGAGTTTCTGCGTATTCACAAATAAAAACATTCCTATTCCTTCGGCATCGTATTGATTAGGCTTTTATTCGTCTAGTACGGCTTATTTCTCCTTAATTCATTTTCATTTTCTCCTTAAGTTTACTTAGGTACTTTGGTAAGCTTTTCCTTCTACATATTTCCCTTCGTTTTATTTTATTCACAAGACCGGCACAGCGAGAACTGCTATTGCAGGGCACGTGGGCATTGGTTGAACATGTGAATCGCATGTGTTCATCTAGCTTTCCTTTAGATGATCAATCCACCGCATTCCTTGTTGGCTAAATGACGATTTCCAAGGTGGAACATTCACGGGATCTTCCTACTGTTTCGGTGCCAATCGAACTTGAACTTAAACTTAATACCTCAGCTGTCAGTAAATAGAAAGCTATGCCGGTTCACCATATACTACATAGGAGAGGAGAATAAGTCGCGTTATTACATGACAAATCGAGGTGATAAATTAGGACCCTCCTGGCACGGGTGACCGCATCGTGTCCGAAAACTGTCCGAAGTTTGTCCAATCGGTGACCGACAGCTATCCACAAACGCTCCCCAAAAAATACTTTCGGTCACGTCGCGGTCACAGATAATATTTTGACAGCAGAAGCTTACTTATTCTACATTGATTGATAAATCTCCTGCTGTTCAGACGTCTTCTGCTTGGTGGGATTACGTGTCTTGGTAGCATGCATTACATGCTTAGCGATACTACGTTTTAATCTCCAACTATTGTTCGCCTAGCTACCGTGCGGCCGCACTTTAACTCGGCTGTCGCTTTGCCCTCTGTGGCCACTCTAATTCTCCCCATACAATATTGTGCGTGCCCTCGTTCGAACCAGTTTGACGAGCGCTACTCCGTGCTTCCCAACTCTTGGATCTAACCGGTGTGGATTATACTCTTTCTCCAGTTCCCAGTTTTCGGCATATTCTTTGTCAAATTCCACTTGTGTAACTACATCAAACTGGTCTTTCGAAAATGATTTTGGCCTCATTCGGAAGAAGAAGCTGAGGGCTCCAAAACTACGTGGCAACCATCCCTGCAAGTTGCAGCATAACAGATTTACAGCTTTTTTGCTCCGCTCATCAACCGAGCAGATCTAGGAAGGCTTATCAGCGCTCCACCTGTATCGTCGCTTAAGGCAGGCATATTAACATACGCAGCCGCTTTGTGTGGGTGTGTGTGTTCAACCGCGAGTCGATTGATCACTGAACCAGACAGTCTGCACGTTACGACCTCCATCTACCTCTACCGCCTGACCTTGGTGCGGTTGAACAACTCTCAATTCGTGTGCGTGTTCTGACCTATTCGTGAGTCACCCGTAGCGCAAAGAACACTCATCAAGGTGAGCGCTTTGAGAGGCTGTAAACAATAAGAGGACGACTAGCATTCCAATGGTTCCACGTCGCCTATGTTGCGCAGACGATTGCAGTAAAGTCCATAATATCAGTATTACCTGTTCTAGCTGCATTAGATCATACTGTCCGCAATGTGTAGGCAGATCCGTCCAAGAAGTGAGACAGACAAACCAAGTTGCTGACACAATTTGGTTTTGCCCAACCTGTCAAGTCATTCTACTTGTCAACTGTTTATCTTTGCTAATGAAAAAATGCGATAGCATGACTGAAATAATCGCGCATTTTGTAAATACTAAGATCCATCACACGGAAGTAAATATGGCCATTATAATACCTCACCCGGCCAAAATAACCTCTGTGTCTAAACCGAAGAAAAGAGCTAGCGCTCCAATCGTACTGCAGCGTCTGTGACTCTAAATCCACTGGGTCACCTCAATCTCATAAATGGGAAAGCCTCAAACAAACCAGCTTCCACTTCTACAAACATAGAGACTTCACTTGGAGATTCAGCCATGACACCGACAGCTCACAGCCGAAGACAATCCGGTGCAGACAACAAGCAGGTAATGTACGCATCGATTGCCTAGACAAACACATCGGGAGCGACACACATAGGCCCATCTTCCGTACCAAGCACGCGTGGCGCAAAGCAGCTTTCACCGTCAAATCCAGTGGTGCCCTCTAAACAACCCGAATTGCCGGACAAAATGTATAAAGCCAGCACTCGATAGACAAAACCATGCTGCGCTAACTCTCGTGTGCACCAATGTTCCCGAATCCAAATCCGGCACAATAAATGGCAAGTTGCAAGAAATCGTTGAGTATGTGAATATTGTGGTTGCTGAGTTGCACCAACTTTTAATAACGTGTTATAACGACACCACAAAACTGGGGCCCTTCGAGGCGGTCAGTTCTGATGGGAAAATAACTGGAGTTAAATTACCCGTTTGCTACATAGGTATGCAAATAGCTTCCTCGTAACCGAAGCATTCCTCTATTGCCGTACTCATTTTGCTGCGCCATGACTGCGCTAATTGCTTTTAACAAAAATCGCGCGAACAATACGGTAAGTATCAGTGGACTTGCTGTATGTCAGCAGAACAACGGCTGAAGCCTGATTGTCAGCCAGCACAATGTTTCCGCTTGTTTAACATGTGTATTCCTAAATCGTTTGTAGGTGTGCCGGACTTTATAACCGTATTCGATGAAGCACGATTTTAGGGCAGTAGCTCGTAAGCTTTTTAACTGGCTTGCGGTATAAGTCAACGTTGTCATGTTGATGTGATAAGCAAAACCTTATTACTTTAAATTTACAAATAACCTATACAATTCGCTGTCGGTACTGTAACATTACCTTGCATCCAGAATAGCAACAGCCGAACTTGATGGCTTCGCCAAAACTCATCGGAAATCCATACGGTCAAACTCACTCCTCTGGCACAAGCATTCGCGTTCTGTGCATGTGCGTAAGACTGGTGAACTGCCGACAATGGCTAGATCATGTTGTTTCACAGTAGGAAGAACTTTTCCCCTGTTCATTCTAAATGCAGCTTGAGCGAACCTCCGCACAAGGTGGTCGGAACTTTAACATATGTGTGCACTAGTCTCTTAAGTTGGCATGCGTAACATCTCTACGCTTAACGAATTGGTTAGCTAGCGCTCTTATGAATAAAACTTCAAGATGTGATAGGCATACCGTTGGTAATATAGAAGCTGTGCGGGTTAATTTCTATAAACTCTGTTCCACCATAAGCGCGAAGCCATTTAGTGACATAGTGCCCAACGGACTGCCCGTGGTTACCCCATCGTTCTGTGAGTCTAGTTGGTCCTAAATGGAAGTCTGACATTCTTCCTACAACTGAGCAATAATTTCCATAATATCTTAGACCGCATGGGTGACACGTGTCTGCAAATTTGCCATTATCATCAAGGTTTTATTAAGAGGTTAATTTAGTAAACGCTGATTATGTAACCAAAAATGTCGTCCTTTTATTAGACAACTGAAAATAGTCGAGGGCTGGATTAAACGCTTAACAGGAAGATCAATTTCGTCAGCAGTGAAGTATTCGAGAATAACTTATTTATGTATTTATTTTATTTGTGTCTGAGTGCGCTTATCAGCAAATGGGCCGTGTCAGTAAACATTCCACATTTGAGTCATTGGCCGGGCCTTCAAATTTGACCGTGCTCTACGATTCCTCTCTTTGGAGTTTATCAGCACACATGTCCACACACCTTTTGCTCTATCGGTTCTTATTTTACTCCATTACACGTCCCGCGATGCAAATCTACTCACGCGATATTTTAAAATCGCTACGATTTTTTACACTCGTAACTCGTGCATTTTTGTACGGTTGTGCTTTCAGAAACAAACTAAAAGAATTCATAAGAAGTGTAACAATTCTGTTAGTAAACATCGTTCTTGATGGAGAGCTGCTCTTTGAAAGGAAAGATTAGGAGATTTGATCGTCACAACATTTCTTAGCACCAACGTTTGCTCGCTCATGGAGAAATTAAGGGAACTATCAAACATTCTTTTCTCAAGAGTTTTAGCAAACTTGGAAGCATTAGGTTGCAAGCAACCTGGCTCTATGATGCAGTGGTATCCGTTAGAGAATGTATTTGCTATCGGGTTTATTAGCCATGCACGTGCCGAAACGGAAGTTGTTGAGTACTTATTTAAACCTATCCGTCTTGTTGTATTGCAACAAAACGTCTTTCATGCTTCGTCTCACACTTTATCAATTGTTTAGTCATACCATGTAAACCGAGGTGTTTGAATGGCGACAGCATAGTATTGTTGGCTAATATCTAGTATTACCCTCCTGTCACAAATCCGAAGCCGAGAATTTCTGTGAGGAATTTACTGCAGCTCTCCTAGAACACATCGGTCGTTCTCCGTGCCTATTCGGCGGAGATTTAAATAGATGTGACACTACTATTCTCACCGCCCTCGGGTTGCAAAACCTCGTCAATCTGCGCACCAGGTCAAACGCAACCTTAGATCTGGTGTTTGTTAATATTGTAAAGTGGTTCTCCGTATGTACTCGGGCTCCAAGTGGTTATTCTGATCACTCAACAAACAAGAGTTCACCTGTCATCTATAGCAAGAGCAATCATCAACAAATCACATGCTGTAATGATCAAAGGATCAGTTGGGGACAATGCTGTCTACAAAATCTCGACAGACTTCGCTAAATGAGCCCATCGACGGAATTTAGTTTGTTGTTTCACCCTGATGTATCCAGCTACTGTGATAATTTGACAAGCTATTTAAACTTCTGTTTGGAAATCTGTTGCCCATTGGAAAATATTTACGTCCGCCCTAACAAGTTTTCCTTCCCCACCTGAAGCGGCTACGCCGACTTAAGGAGAAAGCGTTTAAAGAAAAAGACGGCACTTCAGTAAGGTTTTACACAGGTTGTAGCAAGAAACAGCCACACCATTTTATCAAAGCGTATATCCAGTCAGTTCTTTGGGAAGGCAGTTGTCGTGAACTCTGGAGGATGCTGCAAACACTTAGCGTACTTACTTGACGTTCGCCGTACTTTGATGTAGACGTAGATAAATGGAATCGGGAGTTCTGCGAGTGTAATAATTCAACAGCTCCAGAGTCCTTCTGTGCCCAAGTTCTGGGTTCTGCTAAAACACTGCGTCCTGCCGCCAGTGCAACTGTAAACAATCTACTGAAACATCTACGTTCCGGTAAAGCTAGTGGGCCGGACATGCTATCTCCTATCTTACTCAATGTGCCGATTGTCTTGCAACAGCTCATGCAAATATATTCACAATATGTATGCAGCAACTCAAAACAGCCGACTGCTGGTGAATTGTCGATAATACACTAAAGCTAAAAATGGATCCAACAAATATTGATTTATCGCATGCACTTCCTTTTGCAATGAAAATACTAAAGAAAGCCATCCTCGGAATGATGCCGTCCAGAACACGCTCTAGGGACCGCTCCAGTTTGCTTATTGTAGTTTGAGTTCTACCCTAGATTCTTTGGCCTACCTCGTAGATTCTGCATTATCAGCGCTTGACAATAGGAATAAAGCAACTGGAACGCATTTTCTTGATTACAGCTGTGTATTTTGCTGTGTATATTGCCAATTAGTGCTAGAGGAATTAATTACTCAAGGAGTGTGTCCCTCCACTGTCTATTTACTGAGTGATGATAGTGCTGAACGCAGAGCATCTGACTCAGTAGCCCATGTTCCTCCCCACTATTCGCCAACGCAGGTGTCCTTCGGGTAGAAATTCTGTCGCCTTTTCTCTTTTCTACTTACGTCAGTTCTATGCCAACGCCAACTGAACCGGCTCTAATAAAATATGTCGACCATATCTTGCTACGCAATTACCACAACAGCGCTGCTTGTTCGTTCAGACAACAAGCGCTGTTGAACGATCCTACTGGCTGGTCCAAATCCCGTGATTTGTCTCTTAATGCTTTAAAGTGCCAGGGCATTCTTCTTTACACAAAGTCGCCTGTGAGGAGGAGCTGCATACACTGTGCAACAAGTTACATATGGATGGCGACGGATTATGGTCATCCAAATTAAGAAAATATCTGGTTGTGACGTTGGGTTACGATATATCGTAAACGCTTCAAGTAAATGAAACTTTCGTTAAAGTCAAAAGGTCGTCATTCTATGCCTCTCGGCTCAAATCCTTATGCGCTCCTCTTGAGCTGATCGTTCGCTTTGTCAACGCCTGTGTTCTTCCCCATTATGCGTACTGTTCCTCGGTGATATTTCCCGGTCTTTTAGGTATGCATTTTAACATAATTGTCAGCTCAATAAGGTACTTAGCCCGATTTAGCGTGTTTCCGAAATCTAGTTTAAACCACGCCCTTATTTCTACACACATTAATTCGTGTAAAATGTTGGCCTTTAAGACCCTGACCAAAAAATCATCCCTAAATACTGCGTTATCTGAATATTTATCAACTTCATCTACTATGCAAAAGCACAAGCTAATGTACGGCCGCACACAAGCTTACCGCTTCTCGGTCATCCCTTACCTCATGCGTCTTTTGCCAAATCCCAAATCCGTCATGCTTGACTAAACCAGCCGACTTTCAACTTGATTGTGCTTCGTACCCTTATCTAACCTTTCTTTGTCGTATTGTTTTGGCACTGATTTGCTTTTTGGGTACATTATCTTGATCGTGGGTTGTAGTTGAATATTCACCCATGCAAGGTGCATAAAGCAATTTCTTGACTTGACTTGACTTGATTTAATTCTTTTCATCTACGCGTGGTGCAGCTGACTCAGTAACCCTTAAAATACTACAATTTGCAAAATCAGTCAACAGTGATTGACATAGTGTTTATTAACCCGAAACTTGGTCTAACGATCAACTTACCTCATCATTCGTATGATCCAGTCCGGAATCTTAGTGCGCAAGTATTTTACTCTCATTATTCGCTGACCCTTCTTGATTGTAGCAGCAACGTAGTCGAGAAAATTGCATCTTCTCCAGTAATACTTCTATAACTAAGCCAAACTGCTTTCTCAATTGTGCTTTAGACAAGAGCAATGTAATGAACAGATCAAATGCTGCGATACTAAAAAGAGAGGACAATTTTAGCCCTAAAATAGCTGCTAGGTATTAAACTACTAAAACTGCCGTCCATCCGCCCTACAAAGTTCCATTCGACTTGCGCGAATAGCATTTGTTTTGTTCGCTGTACTTCAGTATCGAGCCAATTTTAATTCTCGCATGACCGGCTACCATTAACACCACATGTTTACCAAGATTTTTGGGGGTATATTTGCCGTTGTTGCTCTGCAGTTTCTGAGCCAGATGCAACCTCGTTTTTGTTCATTCGAAATAATTCCACTTTGGCACTACTGTGTGTGCAGATGAGCTCAGATCCAGTTTGATCCATTTATTGTTGGTCGTGCTTAGGTTCCGTGCAACTAAAGTAAGTGTCATCTATAGCTATCTTAGTAGACGACGGTTATGGTGAGTTTCATGAGAGATACCAGGGTAAAGCTCTTTCGGCTTACGTGAGTAGGCTGTTACAACCCAACAACTTTACCATAAACGATCCATAGTAGCAAACAAATGGTTGCTGAAATGCAATAAGCCCCAGCTGCCTTTAACAATACCGCTATTTGTAGACATGCCTAAACTTGCTCTTAAAGGTTGTTCGCAAAAGTAATTGGAAATATTGTATTGCAGGTTACAGTTTGATTTTCGCAGTGCATCAACTAAACGATAATACAAAACTGTCATTCAGCATACTACCTATAGTTTCTATTCAGTCGTATTCATAAAAATCGAAACCGTATGTTAAGCATTATAAGACAAATTAATACTTATTTTGCTCAAATACTGTTATAACAGCTATTTGTTGTATTTGTATACCAGTAAATATGGAAATAATAAAAATTTATTTTAAGTGGAATCGTTTGAGTGGCACTAATGTAGAAGCGTTTCAGCTATTATCTGAAAAATATGGTAGGCACTCTCGCTTTCTGATTCTCCTAGGAATACTACGCAGTATAGTAATGTAAAATAACACAATGTTATTTACTCTGGCTTCAGTTTGACGCATCACACTTATAGTCACCATATATTCAAACTTTTAACACTGACGAACTACTAACAATTTGTTTGTTTAGTCACACATATTGGAACTTGAGCTTCATATCTTCCCTTTCACTTTGCTATAAACTGAGTAATTGCATCAAAAATATGTTGCAAAAGCATCGTATTTATGCGGTATCAATTGATATAAATTATGCTCACCTTTGACTAATGGAGACATGCGCTCTCCAACTGAAATAATAGCCTACATCCTATATGAAGTGTAAAACATATGTAGTGATCTACACATTTTTATTGTGGCCAAACAATCAATCATTGGGATAAGTGTCAATATTAGAAGACTCCCCGATGATTTCGTGTTAGGCACCAACAATTTTCACCAACGGTAACGCTTCGCTACAGTGAAATTTAAATATGCTACTTTTTGTGTAATAAATTCAGTTAGACAATTAAATTGGCTGCGATATATTTCCGTAAAAATCATTTGCTTGTTCAAAATACATTCATGTGAACTCCTCAATAAACACTTATAGAATGAAAGCACTCTTTAACAAGAACGCACGACCTGCGAGTAGTATCTTATTAGTTTCCTAGTTAACAGTGTCCCAGTATTGACTAAAATTGTTCAAGGATGATAGGCACTTAGTTTAAGGAAATTGTACCGGCTTTAGCTAAGCCTTCCATATTGTAATTTCGAACAATTCAAAACTTGTTTTACGCGTTGGCTAATATTCGGTTAACTATTGAGGGCACATGACTGCGTCGTTCATATTAATAAACCAGATGATCTTTCCAATTTTCCTCAGTACCCTAAGTCGTTATTACTAACGGCCGACACAGTCACGAAACTAGTTGTACCATGATTTCAGCGTACAAAAAGCACATGATTATTTAAATTTATGGTACTATATTAAAGCACCGTTTGGTATAACTGGGTGGTGTGATACGATTGTGGAGAGAAAAGCGGCAAATTTGACAAATCCAAGGATCGTTGAATTACAAATGGTAATGCCTTTAAAATATTCAAGGACATCCAAACAAGTCACTCACTTATATCGCAGTAGGAGGCCTATAGCGTGATCACTGAATAAGTTACTTGCAGTTAAAAAAGTTTTAATAAGATAAAAGATAAAAGTGAATTAATATAAATTCACGTGTAATCCTGTCAGACGTAGGAGAGATGTTGCTATGCAAAACGGTTAATTCGCTTTTGCTGCTGGTCTTATGTGTATCTGACCTTTTTGCTGTTATTTTTGAAGACCACAGTAAGCTTAATGTTCCATAAATCTAACACGTGTAAACCAGCATATTTGCCGTTCACAGTTCATTGATGAATAATAGGATCAGGTTACGGTTTTCCTTTATACAAGGATTAAATATTGCGTCACACCTCACCGTCCGCCGTGTTTTATCCTCCAGGTTTAAAGATTGCTAATTTTAAAAGGCTTAATATATCTGGATGTAAAGCTAAATATTGTGCGATACGCTTTAGAAGGCACAAAACAATAACCATTGAATTCCAAACTTGTAAGTATAATAAAGCATTAATCTGTGATCTGTACTATGGGTTGATTATACCTAACGAAATTGTACGCGCTAACTCTAAATTCACAGATTGGACACTGGAGGTTTTCAAAGCACAGTTTATCGTTTTGTGGCCAAAACCGCCACACAGGCTTTTGATCTTTGATACAGAGAGGGATTGTGCTTATTTTAATACTAAATGTAAAATGACAAAACATGGCTCCAACTACACCATATCTCATCCCTTTGTAATCAGAGAGGAGTGGATAAAGGTTAGTAAGACTTATTGAATAAAAATGACAGAATTTGAGTTTACAGGCACGTTGCTGACTTCAGATTCTGATTAGGTATTATACTATTTGCAACATACTTGGGTTGAAGAACGGCCATCATCAACTTCCAAACACGCATACGAAACGAAACAAACCATTTACTTTCACATCGTTAACCTGTTTGGCTCGTTTATATTTCAGGGATTTCATATATTGGAATGGGCATTTTGGGCTAACGGAAGACGCATACTTTGTGCTCATATTCCAGTTTGGGTTTGGTGACGCATATGAAGTGAAATATCAGTTAGTTACTGACGTTGTTTGATTTGAAATTGTCGTGCACTGATATTTGCTAATTGTACCAATACACAAAACAAAAATCATTGTACTAGTTCTCTGCGTTTTATATTTGGTTATTTT